CGGCCGGACACGGCATCAACAGTATGTGAGGGGCGTAACATTTCCGTCTCACGCTTGAGGTATTCGGCCAATCACAACGCATTGGATATCTGGCCAATCAGAGCACACCTCGCTTTTTTAGACCGATGAGCTTTGTAAAAATCGACGAGTTTCAGAAAGGCGGAGAAACAATAATGTACAGTATGTGAAAAATAATTTGTTTTTTGAACCTTAAACCGCATAAACACATTTCATTACACCAAATACACAAAATAATGTTCTTTTTAGCAGCATCATATGACCCCTTTAAGATTAACAGCGATGCTCTGCAAGAAAGAAATCACAATTACAATAGCAGGAATCATGATGCATTTTAAAAGTTGAAAATTGATAAAATATTAGTAAAAAAAAAAACACAATGGAGTATACCTTTTTGTTCCTGTTCACACTCAGGAAATAAGCACTCTCTTCACCCACAAACGGAGGGCCCCAAGCTCTTGTCTCGTCTCCTGAGCCTGTCACACAGCTCAATATAGTTCACTAGAGTTCATCAGTCAGACACACTATAGCACTGCAGTCACACACTGTTTAGAGCTAAACAAAGAATCGTTTTTACAGGAACTGGCAACGTGAAGCTTTAATATAAGAAATGTCATTATAGTGCAGCCATTTAACATGGAAACAGCATTACCTACCTCAAAATATTTGCTGTAGAGGCATGCTTGGTCAAATAAGAGTTTAATAGATATGCAAGAAAACTTAATGAATGGGTATTCTATTACTTTAGAGCTTAAAAGCCCCAGCCCTAATTCAATGTCAGTATATTAAACAGTGGCAGAGAAGAAAATCGTTAGGTGAGGAAATAACAGCATTTGCTTTTTGGGATGAATCTAATCCTTGAAATGATGGCAACATCTTAAAACTAAAATGCATGCGATATATGTCATATAAGATGTTTACAAAGCATAAAACACTTTTACGTTTCCCACTCTATTTACATGAACCTTACCTGGTCGCTCAACTTTAATCACCTCAGCTCCCAAATCTCCTAATATCATAGTAGCAAAAGGTCCAGCAAGAACCCTGCATCGCACACCATGTAGTCATGTGATTTTTTTTTAAATATTAAGCATCTAGCAGAGCATCATTTATGAATATGAATGCACAGCGCCTACCTCGTCAGATCTAAGACTTTAACGCCATCTAGTGGTCTGATCTGACCTTCACCTGTATTCACGGAGAAACGAGTTTGAATTATTATTAACAATAGCTAAATCAGTTGTTAAATGTATTCTAGAATTCTTAATTGATAAATAAAATAAAAATCTATATTATCTATATTATATCTATATTAAAGGATTAACAAAAGCTTGAAATCATATGTTTTCTGGATTGGCAAAGGGCAAACGGGTTAAAATGTTACTCGTTGATCCTTCAAGAATTCAGTTTAAAAAAGTACAATACAAAAAAAAAAAGTACAATTGTTTACTATATATTTTTCTTTCTCTTTTAAATGCAGGAGTTATATAGGTGTGCACACAAGCACCTCAACATAATCAAGCAAGCAGGTGTGCAAAACAATTAGTCTACATCAGAATACACAAACTGCTGTGAATAAACAGGTGTGCATTTACACCATAAAATAAAGTAGTGATTTAAAGTACACTTTAAGGACTATAACATTCCTGTACATATTAGTGATATGATCACACAACCAAGTCACGTGTGTGCGCGTGTGAACTGCTCGTCTGCGGGTTCAAATACAGCTGCTACCTTGCAGTTTGGCAGTGAATGGTCGTCGTATGTTCACACAGTTCGTCTTATTCGGTTGTAGAAATTGTAATGCTCTGCTTAGATAAGACAAAACTCTTTCAGCAACGCTTCCCGACATGTTGACTCGGCGTTTACGTGCGCAACGTCTCTAAAAGCCCCACCTCCGCAAATTAAACTTGACAATAATCCACGGAGAAATCTATTGAACTTCGCAAAAGAGCGCCACGGTCAGTTCGACACATCTGACGGCGCGTAAAGGGGCGTTCATGACAGAAATCACTCAGAAGTGTTGCGGTGAGACACACGAGTCTTCCTGCAGGCGGCGCTCATCGGACCTCCTTTGAGTCGCGTGCAAAATGTGTGTCTTTGTTGAAATCTATAAATTCTAGTCATTTTGAAAATCCGTAAATGAAAATCCACCTTAGAAATCTTTAGAAAATAATTCAATAAAATGCCATTTCCTGTAATCACAAACGACTGTTCTTTTTCTTTGGTTAATATGTTACAGCTATGAGAAAAGTAACATTTATCACATGACCCCGCAGCTCACACTTAAAGGGGTCATATGATACGATTTCAATTTTTCCTTTGTCTTTGGAGTGTTACAAGCTCTTGGTGCATAAAGAAGATCTGTAAAGTTGCAAAGACTAAAGTCTCAAATCCAAAGAGATATTCTTTATAAAAGTTAAGACTTGTCCATGCCCTCCTAAAACGTTGTTGTTGCCGCCGTCATGTCGTGAAGACGCTGTGTGTTTCGTTGTGAAAGCGAAACTACTTTGTTTGGTCTTCCAAAAGAGGACGATATCCGCTTCGTCATGCCTGGAGCTGATTTCAGAAAGGCGGGGCATAGAGGAGAAACAATAATGTACAGTATGTGGAAAAAAATGTGTTTAAGTAAAATTGAAATGTTTAATTTTAAGTAAAATAAATAGAGGGGACTAACCATCTTTTGTGTGTGTATGTGTGTGTGTGTGGCTCACACAAATCCACATTGTCCTGCTGAAGGAACAGATGCAATCATGCAATGCTAAAAGCAACAGTGGCCTTAATATAATTAATAATCAATAATTGTCAAACTTTTCAAGAAACTTATACAAGTTACAAAATGATGTAATGTGCCGACATTTAATAATGTAAATGATTATCTACAGTTAGCCTGTCAAATACATATATAACTGGCATAGATATAATATAGAATTATAGCTATTTATTCTAGAAAGCACAGCTAAACTCTAACCAGTAGGTGGCATGAGACACCCATCAGCTCATATATACATATTATATCTATTCTATTCTATATAATAGATAATAGATTATACATAATATATATTCTATTCTATTCTATTCTAGTGATGTCTCAATATTGGTCTCACTATCAGGTGAAACTGCTGTACATATGTACAGTCTGTTGATTCAGTTAGTATAGCTGACAAACAGTCCTAATATCATAATTATGTGGTGTATTATTAGCAATCATTAGTATTTCCATTCTGACTCTCACCATTTTAGAGCAGGACATTTAGTTAACATGAGTTAATGCATTATGTGCCATGAACATCAATATAATATATGTATTAATATGAAATATACAAATGCATAAATACATGAATAGATTTTTTATTATATATGCAAATATACACAACATATGTATGAAACAGTATCTAAAAATCTAAAAAAGTATACACTTTTTCCCTTTTGCATTGATAAAAAATACAACCTAAAGTCGTGGAAATCTGTGCAGTCATATATGAAGCCACGCCCCAAAGATCACGAACCAATCATGGCTCTGTCCGCAGAGCCGTATCTGGTCACGTGACTGGCAGCAAGCGTATATGTGGAGAAGGTCCGCGTTGGTATAAATGAACTCAAGACGTGATACAGAGTCTTTTTTATTGAAGTGACACTGCTGTTCTAAGGGAGTCCGGGCTACAAAGTAGCTTTGACAAATAACGAGCATGGCAGGTATGTGACAATCAATGCACTTTGTAAATTAAACAGAGCTGTTGATGTGTAGTGGTTGGACCATCTTACTGCAAATATCTATACGATTATATATATAGAGAGAGAGAGAGAGAGCATGCAAAAAGGCATTAAGGGATGTGGATGTTCACTGCATTGCTCATATTCATATTTCTGTAGCACTGGATATAAAGTAGCCTATGTAAGGCTGACTTATACTGGCATGATTACTCAAGAGTTTAAGATGATGTTTTTATTTGTGAATGAATTGTTCAGTTGAAGAATCGGTTGAAACGGTTCACAAAACCGGTCTGAACAATTCGTTGACTGGTTCTCGAGTCAACTCAACAACACTTCATTTATTTACCGAGAACCGTCTTTTCGAATTTGTTCGACTCGCAAAAATCCGGTTTGACAAGTTTTCGGCGAACCGAGAACCGTCTATTTTGAACGGTTTTGTCCGACTCTTAATGGCCTGAGGACTCGTTGCAGGTTTGGTTTTAATAAATAGCATTTCATTAAAACAAGAAAAAACTTTTCATCTGAGAGATATAAGATAATTTAAGTTGTGTTTAATGCACATTTAAATGATATTTACGTTCTAAATGACTTTGTTTTAAGAACTGAATCATGGCTGAACTCGAACGATTGCAACAGACACCCCTTTTAAAATTTTATTGAAGAGGAATGTAAGGAACACGTCGTGAGGTAAAAGAATCACTGAATCCGTTTGTGAACCGATTCTTCAAAACGTATTGTTCAAAAGAACCGATTCTTTTTAAACCATATTGAAAAGAATAATACTTTTTGACATTATTATGAGAGGAAACGTGCATCATCGACTTCCATTAAGGCTTAAACATGACTTGATTTTTCAGGAAATCCATTATGTTGTCATCTGTTGTTCCTTAGCATAATTACCGTATGTGAAATCAAATTCATTAGACTGTATTATGTCAAGCTCATTTCTTTAGCAGAACAGGCATTTGTCACTTTGGCCACAAACGATAGCTATGCGAGAGGAGCTATGGTGCTTGGAAAGTCTCTTAGGAACCACAAGACTTCAAAAAAGCTGGTGGTGCTCATTGGACCCCATGTGTCCGATCAGTCAAGGTACAACATGCTTAATTCAGCCAGTACTTCGAATCTGTCTGACTTCTGTGGAAAACAAAAGGAGATGTTTTTGAATGTCTTTAGGGCAGTTCTTCATAAGATCTTTGATGAAGTCAGGCTAGTGGATGTGTTGGACAGTGGGGACACGGCACACTTGGCCATGATGAAGAGACCTGATCTGGGTGTCACTTTCACCAAGCTGCACTGCTGGGCTCTCACACACTACTCCAAGTGTGTGTTTATGGATGCAGACACACTGGTGAGTTTGCATCATGATTTCGAACCAGCTGATGGTTAGCAGAGTTCAAGTTGTACCTTGTCAAAACATGCATGAAATATTTATAATGCGGTCTGTTATGTCATTTGAATTACATTGTGCACCATTAACTCAATGTGTCAATGCACGCCTCTGCGTTACATTTAACTTGTGTAACCTGCACTTAGCAGGGTAGGCATCTAAGCATGCCTTCAACTTAAAATTTTGTTGTTGTTTTTTTGAACTCATAAGTCCAAGTGTGTGTTTATGGATGCAGACACACTGGTGAGTTTGCATCATGATTTCGAACCAGCTGGTGGTTAGCAGAGTTCAAGTTGTACCTTGTCAAAACATGCATGAAATATTTATAATGCGGTCTGTTATGTCATTTGAATTACATTGTGCACCATTAACTCAATGTGTCAATGCACGCCTCTGCGTTACATTTAACTTGTGTAACCTGCACTTAGCAGGGTAGGCATCTAAGCATGCCTTCAACTTAAAATTTTGTTGTTGTTTTTTTGAACTCATAAGTCATTTATCTGATTGAGAATACAGTAAAAACAGTAATATTTTGAAATATATATATATATATGTATATATGTTTCATTTTTTTTTATAGCTATTTGGACTTTTTGTACACAATAAGACCAAAAATATTTATGAAGAAAATGTTAAAATGGCTCAATTTGAACTTATGTTGATGATTTTCATGAGGCTTTTCTGTTGGCTGTAGGTGTTATCAAACATCGATGAGCTGTTTGGCAGAGAGGAGCTGTCTGCAGCTCCAGACCCCGGCTGGCCTGATTGTTTTAACTCTGGTGTGTTCGTGTTTCTCCCGTCCAACGAAACCTATGGCAAACTTCTGCAGTATTGCACAGAGCACGGCAGCTTTGACGGTATGTAAAATAGCACTATAATTTGCTTTTAGATGTGTCAGAGCTCTGAATTTCAGTTTTTAGCAAATGGCTTTTAGGGCATTGACACTTTTACTGTGTAGTTTCAAGCATTTTACAGGAATGTTCCAGGTCTGTAAGTGCTGTCAAGGCCATTCATACCAGGAACGATAACTATAGCAATGAGTATAATGAAAACTATATTAGCATCCACACCAATGAACAATAACGTTTTGTTTATTATGAGTGCACACTGTGGTTTTGTCGTCTGCCACTTTAAAAGCTCAAGCTTTGGGTGGATTCCGATTGGCTGTCCATGTTTTCATTCATCAGACAAAATCGCTCTGAAACTTATTCCATGACATTGTTCCTCTATTGTTGTTACTGTTGTAGCTGTGGTATGAACTATTCTCATAGAATGAAATTTATAAAATTTTGTAGTTTTAGTTATCATAATAGCTATTATCCTTGGTGTAAACAGGCCTTAAGTGATTTTTGCAAGCTGAGGGATGAGTTTACTTACTTGTTTCAAAATGACAAAAAGGCACGGTAGAAGTAGTTAATGTGACACAGATGCATTATATTCTGAATCTTTTGAAGCCATACAATAGTTTTGTCTCACTAAATCTTTTCATCTGTGGAAAAGTTGAGAAAAGCTGTAAAAAAATGTAAAACTAAAAAATTAAACTAAATAAATAAAAATAAAAATGAATAAATAAAATCAAATAAATAAAGTAATCAAAAATCAGAAATAGACAAATAAATGTATAATAACAATTAGATTAAAATAAAGAATGCTTTCATGAAAATAATTAAAATATAAATAATACAAATGTAGATCAGAAATAGATAAATAAACGATTTATAAAAATTTGATTACAATAAATGCATTTATTAAAATAATA